CCAAACATTTTTTCCCCCACTGGATTGCTAAGCCTTGGCAAGTTTTGGAATCCCATGTTAAAATGGAAGGCGTTTTCCCCATGATCTAACGGGTTAAATCTTTTTAATAAGGGGGAAGGGCAAAGGGCTGAAGAACGTGCTGTCACAAAAGTCTTGTTTATTCTCTCCCCCGATTTTGTACATTTCAACGAACCTGTGTATGAAATGTCTTACTGGAGTGCCTGGGTGCTGAGGCATAGACGAGACACATAAAGCAGACAAGTAAAGGGAAAAGCCTCCTTTTCAGGAGGCACCTGAAAGGGTGAACAGACAAGAAAGAACAAGGAGTGCCAAGGGGTTTTGCAATACGAGGCTGTCTGAAATAAGATGGGAAGAAAGCTCGCAGACGAAAGATTTGGTCTGCATCATGTCCTGGAAGCATTATAAAGGAGTGTTTTATAAAGGCGAAATCATTACAAGAGTTCACACATCCATTTGCATGAATTAGCAAACCCTGGAGAGAGTCTGAAATGTATTGCAAGTGCTGACCTGAAATGAAGGTCACTGATTTCCCCACAACGTCAGGCATCAGTGCGAACTGAGCAGCGTTACATGAGCAAAGCTTTCCTGCCAGTATTGAAAGACCATAGCCTCCAATCATCTGCATCTCGCCCATGAACTGGTCGTTCTAAAAACAGAGAAGCCGATATTTTACTGTACAAGGAAACCTGTAGGCACATTTTTCTGTCTACCCAGCTAGTGGCTAGATTGCGCCTCACAAAGATAGCACAAATAGCTACTACAGGTTCTTGGTTGCCTATGGTTACCAATAGCCCCTCGCTGCTCCTGTGCTTGAGACAAAGCATTCTAATGACTGGGGGAGAGGCTGTGGAGAGAGGGAATGGAAGGAGTGCAGAGAGGACAAACAAACCTAATTTTGGAACAAAAAATTGGAAGCTGTCTCAACCTCTCCGGAGGCAGAAGGAATGGGAGAAGACAGTCATACTCCTGGGGTGGAGAGAGCCCCGGGAGGCCCAGGAGTGGGCCAAGAATTTGTCAACTGTGCCAACATGTCTGCAGTGCAGAACAATGAGACGGTGGTTCCCAACGCAATTACAGGCCTCCTCCACTCCCTACAGCGCGGGTCCTTTCCCTCAGCATATGTCCAGGGTAATGCTAACAGGCCAAGGATCAAGAACCACCGCACTTAGGCCTTCAGGCATGGATGAAAAAGCCTCAGGAACTCTCTGCACTTCTAGAGACTCAGAACCATTGTAGAAGACTTTTCACTCAAATCTCATGCGGTTATGAGCATTTGCTTTCGCGAGGCTTCTGTATGGTACATCATCTCTCCTAATTAAGCCACACACACACACACACACACACACACACACACACACACACACACACACACACACACACACCAAAACATGGATTGTTAATGAATATCACAACAGATAACATGGGAGCAAAACAGCAAACTGAGTGTAGGCAAGTTGTTTTCTAACTTCATTACCGAGACACAGTCAAGGAACTGAAGCAAATACCTTCCAGGCTTCATGACCCATCAAGACTGCTGTAACCCTTGTGCAAACAGTGACCTGAGGGGGCAGACGACAGTGTAGGCACCATGTGCACATTGTGTGGAACCAGCACACATCTTCCATTACTGCTGTGGACAGTTATTGCTTTTGCCAGTTCAGTGCTTTCTTCTCTGTTTCTGCTGAGACAGCTCCGCCTCTTTCTGAGGGGAGTTATTCCGCGTGGATCAGGTGGAGCTAGGCCTGAACCATGCAAACCAGCTATGCCTGAAGATATACCCAGCCCTGGACTTTCCACCTATCAAAACCAATTTATTCCCTTAGGAATTTCCTTGGGTTGCTTTGAATTGGATTCTGTCACCTGAAACTGAGTCTCGATCTAGACATAGAGTTACTTTATCATAGAATTGGTCATCAGGGAAGGGGAAAACAAAACAAAACACATAGGCAAATAAACAGTATAATAGTTTTACCAATGAAACAGGATTTGTCTTTTTATCTTTTTGTTCAAGAGGAAAAATAAATGACTTTAACATGTTTTTACATCTGCTTGATAAAGGAGTGGAGAGAGTTCTTGAAGGTGACCCATTAAGTTAGATTAAAAATAATTATTTTCTTTTTGTGGGAATAAATCTTAAAAGGAGAAAAATCAAAAGAATATCCAGAATTCCTGGATCTCTTGCTGTTTTTGTACAGACATATATAATCATATATCAGCAAGAAATCATGTCAATAGGTTAAAAACTTGTCAAAAATGTTGAAGGAGAAAATTTTGTCATTTCTACAGGTGCTGAGATATAGGAGTTAACAGAAGAAGAATTTCTGCAAATTAGACTCAAATATGTTCTCTCTCTCTCTCTCTCTCTCTCTCTCTCTCTCTCTCTCGGCTCTGTAATTAGCAGGATATTGAATTATCTTTATATACAAGAATGAACATACTTGGGGTCCGTGAATCAAATGATTGCTTGACCAAACATACCTACACACTGAACACACAAATAATAGAAAAAAAAAACAACCTTGTAGTTTCTAGGGTCAGAAGAAAGGTTTGCTTTAAATTTCACAAACAATAATCACATAAGCTTCTAAGTTTACTTGTATGGCTCGAGCCCACAATCCTGCACGTGCCCTGACTGGGAATTGAACCTTGACTTCCTGGTTCATAGGTCAATACTCAACCACTAAGCCACACCAGCTGGACTCAAATATGTTATTTAAAAAAATGTTTTTATTGATTTCAGAGAGAGCAAAGGAGAGGAAGAGAAATATCGATGTGAGAGTGGAACATCGACCAGCTGCCTCTTGCACATTCCTTACTGGGGATTGAGCCTGCAACCTGGGCATGTGTTCTGACTGGGAATTGAACCAGTGACTTCCTGGTGTATAGGACGATGCTCAACCAATTGAGCCACACCATCCAGGCTCATATATGTTCTTAATAGCAGCAGGAAAAATAAAATTTCAGTACCTCCAGAGGACTGAGGTATACAGAACTGGATACAACCATTAAACCACAAAGTTTAATGTAACAAATGAGATTTATACTTTGGCAGATCAGAGTGTATTTCACAATACTTCTATTATCATCTCTATTCTATTGATTAAAAACAACAACAACACAATACCTCAAAAAGCTAAATAATGTGTTCTAAGTCACACAGTAGGGTGTGGTGCTAAGCAAGTCTTATTTCAGAAGGTCTTAAGTGCAAGTTTATAACGTGTTTATTTTTTTATTTATTGTTGATAGTATTACAGGTGTTTTCCTTTTTCTCTCCCTTTACCCACCTCCACCCAGCCTCTGTCCCCCTCCCGCTGGCCATCACCACACCATTATCTATGTCCATGGGCTATGCATATATGCTCTGTGGCTAATCTCTTCACCTTCTATAACATGTTTTAAATATTAGATTTATCCTTAATTCATCTGGAACTTATATCTTCCAAGTATGTGTATAGTCAATTGTCCGAATACCATTTATTAAATTGTTTATTGTTTTCCCTATTGGTTTGAAATGTCATTGGTTTTGATTTGATAATATTTTATTTGGCCTACAGTTTTAAAGCAAAATGATGTTGGCCTCGTATAATGAAGTGGGTGGTTCTTTATTTTTTTCTTTTAAAAAATTTTTATTTTTCAATTACAATAGACATTCAATATTATCTATATATCTCTCTATATAAAAGCCTTTACCACTGGTCGACTGAACAATCCATCGGCCGGTCGCTATGATGCACACTGACCACCAGGGGGCAGATGCTTAATGTAGGAGCTGCCCGCTGGTGATCAGTGTGCTCCCACAGCCAACCTTCCGTGGCCAGGCAACCTCCTGAGGTCCCTCCCCCCGGCCGGCTGGCCCGATTGGCCCCAATTAGGACTGGGTGAGATGGCCCTATTGACCCAGATCACTGCCAGGCCGAGGGACCCCACCCATGCACGAATTCGTGCACCAGGCCTCTAGTTTTGTATAAATTTACCGAGTGATCCCCCTGATAATTCACATAAATACCTGGCACCATACATAGTTATTACAATATTATTGACTATATTCCCTATGCTGACTATATTCCCTATCCTTGTGACAATTTTTATTTTATTAAAAAGTTTTTATTGATTTCAAAGAGGAAGGGAGAAAGAGAGATAAAAACATCAATGATGAGAAAGAATCATTGATCAGTTGCTTCCTACATGTCCCTCACTGGGAATTGAGCTTGCAACCCCCGGCATGTGCCCTGACCAGGAATTGAACCATGACCTCCTGGTTCATAGGTTGATGCTCAACCACTGAGCCACACTGGCTGGGACCAATCTGTACTTCTTAATTCCTTCAACATTTTACCCAGTATCCAAAACCCCCTCCACTCAGGAAACTACCAGTCTGTTATCCAATGAGTCTGTTTCTATTTTGTTTGTTCATTTATTTTGTTCTTTAGGTTCTACATATAAGTAAAATCATATGGTACTTGTCTTTCTCTGTCTGATTTATTTCACTTAGCTTAATACTATCCATGCTGCCACAAACGGTAAGATTTCATTCCTTTTATGGCTAAGTAATATTCCATTGTATATATGTACCACTACTTTTTCTATCTACCGGTCTGTTGAAGGGTTCTTGGGTTGACTCCATATTTTGGTTATTGCAAATAATGCTGCAATGAACATAGGGGTGAATATATTCTTTGGAATTAGTGTTTTAGGGTTTTTCAGATATATAGCCAGAATTAGAATTGCTAGGTCATAACTCAGTTCCATTTTTTTTTGAGAACCTTCCATTCTGTTTTCTATAGTGGCTGCACCCACATACATTCCCACCAATAGTGTATGGGGGTTCCCCTTTTTCCACATCCTTGCCAACACTTATTATTTGTTGATTTATTGATGATAGCCATTCTGACAGATGTGAAGTGACATCTCATTGTCATTTTCATTTCTATTTCCCTGATGATTAATGATATTAAGCATCTTTTCATAGGCCTATTGGCCATCTGTATATCATCTTTTAAGAAGTGTCTATTCAGGTCCTCTACCCAGTTTTTAATTGGGTTGTTTATTTTTAGGGTGATAAGTTGAATGAGTTCTTTATAAATTTTGGATATTAACCCGTTTTTGAATGTATAATTGGCAAATAGGTTGTCTTTTGATTTTGTTGGTGGTTTCTTTTGCTGTACAAACCAGCTCTTGGTTTTATTGATCTCTTGTATTGTGTGTGTGTGTGTGTGTGTGTGTGTGTGTGTGTGTGTGTGTGTGTGTTTTAGACTCTGTTTCATTTATTTCCACTCTGATCTTTATTATTTTCTTACCTCTACTCATTTTGGGCTTTGTTTACTATTCTTTTTCTAGTTTCTTTATGTGTAAGATTAGATTGTTTATTTGGGATTTTCCTTGTTTCTTGACAAGAAAATAAGACCCAAATATATGTTGTCTAGAAGGGACCCTCTTAAGACTGTTTTTGGTTGTCTCACAGATTTTGGGTTGTTGTGTTTTCATTTTCGTTTGTCTCAAGGTATCTTTTGATTTCTTCCTTGATCTCATTGTTAACCCATTCATTGTTTAGTAGCATGTTATTTAGCCTCCATGTGTTTGTGTGATTTTCAGTTTTTTTCTTGCAATTGATTTCCAATTTCATACCACCATGGTCAGAGAAGATGC